TTTTGTCACGGTTCTTAATCTGAACCAAAGTGTCCAAATCTAGACTGTTTCAATGCTGCCATATTTGCCTCGGCTATAATGGCTTGGTCAAGGACATCCACATACTTAAGTAATTTCAAGACATTAATTCAGTCCAGGATTTCCACATTAAGTCCACCCTCAAACTTCCTAGCCTTTTTGTAGTCGGTATCCACCATGTGTGGTGCGTACCAGGTGAGCTCGGTGAACTTAGACTCATATTCAGCTATTGACATGGTGCCCTGCTGTAGTTGTTCAAATTCAGTCACCATACGGTCTTGGACACACTGGGAGAAATACTTTTCGTAGAAAGCTTCTTTAAACTCAAATGGGCAGTCAAGTGTACCGAACAAACTGTCAATGCTTAATCAATGTGAAATGTAATGTTTATCTTTCATGCATTTTTCTGCATTAGTTTTTTATTTGGTTATGAATATGCTGATTTTATAGCTGATCATGCTTATTATTCTTTATGATGGGGGTGGGTGTTATCAGATGCTTTGAAAGAACCTTCCAATTTCTTTAATTGATCTAAAATTTCAATAATTTTCTTAATGGACGAAATCCCTTGGAACAAATGTATCGCTAGGGTGTGGACAATAGAAGATTCATTCGTGAACAATGATGAACATATATCCCTTGGAGCAACCAGGCAAGTAGAAAATTTTAATTTCTTTGAATGAATGCATTTTGTATACCCCCTTCCACGCTTCTAATTTTTCTTGTATTTTCAGAGCAAACTAGATATTGTACTATTGAAGGTCCTAGCTAATAACAATGTCAGTTCATTAAAGGCTTGATTAATTTGTATCTGCACTGACTGTTCATTACATTCCTGCAAAAACATAAAAATGGAAGCATAACTCCTAAACTTTAGTTACCTAGGCCATCTTCAAGAGGGGAAACTCAGTAAGTAACCATATTATACAAACCATCAGAAATTGCGATCCTGAGCTTTTGCGGAGAATAGGCGATGCAACTGCTCTTGAAGTCAGGGCTACTGGGATTCCTTACGTCTTTGCTCCTTGTATTGCAGTAAGTAACCATATTATACAAACCATCAGAAATTGCGATCCTGAGCTTTTGCGGAGAATAGGCGATGCAACTGCTCTTGAAGTCAGGGCTACTGGGATTCCTTACGTCTTTGCTCCTTGTATTGCAGTAAGTAACCATATTATACAAACCATCAGAAATTGCGATCCTGAGCTTTTGCGGAGAATAGGCGATGCAACTGCTCTTGAAGTCAGGGCTACTGGGATTCCTTACGTCTTTGCTCCTTGTATTGCAGTAAGTAACCATATTATACAAACCATCAGAAATTGCGATCCTGAGCTTTTGCGGAGAATAGGCGATGCAACTGCTCTTGAAGTCAGGGCTACTGGGATTCCTTACGTCTTTGCTCCTTGTATTGCAGTAAGTAACCATATTATACAAACCATCAGAAATTGCGATCCTGAGCTTTTGCGGAGAATAGGCGATGCAACTGCTCTTGAAGTCAGGGCTACTGGGATTCCTTACGTCTTTGCTCCTTGTATTGCAGTAAGTAACCATATTATACAAACCATCAGAAATTGCGATCCTGAGCTTTTGCGGAGAATAGGCGATGCAACTGCTCTTGAAGTCAGGGCTACTGGGATTCCTTACGTCTTTGCTCCTTGTATTGCAGTAAGTAACCATATTATACAAACCATCAGAAATTGCGATCCTGAGCTTTTGCGGAGAATAGGCGATGCAACTGCTCTTGAAGTCAGGGCTACTGGGATTCCTTACGTCTTTGCTCCTTGTATTGCAGTAAGTAACCATATTATACAAACCATCAGAAATTGTCATTTATATATGGTGTTTTTAAGCGAATTTCTTTGCTTCCCAAGGTTGCAAGCATTTCATGGAACCTTTTTTTTATAGGTTTGTAGAGACCCTAGATGGGGTCGGTGTTATGAGAGCTATAGTGAAGATCCCAAAATTGTTCGAGAAATGACCGACATTATATTGGGGTTACAAGGAGAAAATCCAAATAGTTCTCTTAAGGGAGTACCCTATGTTGCAGGAAGGTATGGAGTCTATTAAAGTTAAAAATAAGCTCTGTTTTGGGACATCCAGTAAAGTTATTAACAGTATTCTCCTGATCTTGTTGACTAATAGTAGAAGCCGAAGAATTAAATCTACAACAGTAGGATTCTTCTTGGCAGGGCCACAGGTATACCCCGGTCCTGGACCTAGCAAAGTGAAGTTCTTGGGAAGTTTCAGAGTCTTGTTTGAAGTCCCAGCAAGCCCAATGCTGACCTGGAAAGACGATACAGAAGATGTGGGGTCTTGGCCCCATGATGACACCACCCCACCTTTGCAGCAGTTCTGAAATTGCTGGTTGTAAGGCACACCAGGAAGCAAATCTACAACAGTAGGATTCTTCTTGCAACAATGTGGGACATTCACTTTGAATTTGGAGCAGTCACCTTGCTCGGTGGTTTGAGCCCCCACCATAGACCATATCACCTCTTTTTTAGCCCATGTCCATCCTAAGGTCCAGCCAGGGCTCATGATGTGCCGGTACATCTGAAAATTGTTCATTGTCACAACTGCCTGCAGGTAAACAATTCATCAAAAACCTCGTCAACATATGATATCAATCAATAATAATCATATATAAATTTGTATCATCATCTTTGAAATTGTAGTAGGCACTCACCACATAGCCATCTGGAGTCCAGGACATTATATCCCATTTTATTGTTATGTTCCCGTTGGGATCCAATGGATCATATGCAGCTGAAATTCAAAATAAATAAAAATAAATAAAAAAAGAATTAGATACAGCTGAATCCAAACTGAAGCTTGAGAAAGGGGGGGGGATGGTTGCTAATTTACCTGCATAAGAAAAGAATACAAGAAAGTAGAGAACTGACATGACGAATCTCATCTCTGCAATGCTGATATATCAATATTGATGAAGATGAGAATTGGGTTCTAATCTAATGCAACTTTTACAAATTGGGTACGTTGAGCTCAGTATCTGAGAACTGCCAAGCTCACAATGGTTGATTACTTGTATGTATTGAAGAAAGAAAGAAAAAGATGTGCAAGAGGAATTGTCAATGAGTTTGAGATGGCTTACCTACTGGTGGTTAGACACCTAGAGGTTATCTTCTATCGCCCCCTTCCTTTTCTCTCATGTTTATATTTCTGTTACGAGTTTTTCTGTATCTTGAAGCAATGACTTGGTGTGAAGTGAGAAGAAAAAAGGAGAGAAGATAGGCGGGAGATTTGAAGGCTGAACACAACATTCCAACGGTTACCCTGACAGCCAAAGGTGACAGGTAATTAGGAGAGGTTGGTGTTCTGCCAACAAAATTACTTAGATGACCCTATCACAGTAATTCAATTACGAAAATGATTCACAAACATGAATTTTTTTTTTTTATTCATGAAATTCATCTAGAATGATGTAGCAAATTTTTGCAAACATGAACTACAATAATGAGTTTTTTGACTTGAAATAAAACAATCACAAAAGCTACATCTGTCTGCATGCAATTTATGTACAAAAAAATTGTTGGTATAACATTACTCATTTGATTATCTATCTTTCGACGTAATAGGCTACGTGATGTTGCTATTCATGCTTACATGGGATAGTCTTGGATGAAATTGTTTTGCCAAACTTAACATTGGACATAGACAAAAATCTTTGTCCCTCTGTCTCAAATGCAGTTGCAATCATAGAACTATATCTATAGTTTCTAGACCTTTCTTTGATTATAAAGGCATCATCGAAGATATGGGAATGGGCTTATGATACTGCAAAACCTATACAAGGGCATTGAGAAAAAAATAGTTGCAGAGGGCATTTTGGTCATCTCGAGTGACGGTGTTTGAGTACAATTTTCCTAAGTTCATACTCGACCTATTGATTAATCAGGCAAGTTTTCTCTGAGTTGTGTTTTGATTTTAGCCCACGAAGATAAATATTTCCCAACTAAAACTCCCCACAGAAAACGAATTACTGGACTCCTTAAAATCACTAGCATTTTCTCTTGGACCATGGATATGGGAAAAAAATATTTATCCCTTTATTTGGAATTACAATCTTGCTCTATAATTAAAAAAAGAGAGAAGACAATTGTCGTATTGTTCAGAGGAGTGAAATACTCTGGTCTTCTTCAATACTCTGCAACCTTTTGTAGTTGTGATACTTTTATGAAGGTTAAGAATGGCTCCATTTGGTATATAAACTGCAACATCGTGTGGAGTATATTTTGTGTTTGGAAGTGACTGTGAATGTGATGTAGAATAAAAAAATCAAGTAGTCTTAATAGTGTATTTGGCATTCTTTGTTAGTTTCGTTTGTTGATGTTATATCTTTACAACAGGCTTATCAATCAAGCATGTTGAAGGCATTTAAAAAGACCCTTGATGAGGGGGTTTTCTCCCTTGTAATTGGTAAGAATTTTCTGTGGTGAAACTGCCAGATTATTTTAAAATTGAAAGCTTTATATTAGTTTTTTAAGTGTTCATATGTCTTTCCACCCATCCCCCCTTGTTTTGTAGCTGTTCATAATGTTTTGGCATTTGCATTGTTAAGATCTTCATTTCTTTTGAGATCAAATCACTTGCATCTTTTGTTTAAAATTTTTGATGTATCAAGTGTCATGAATTCTTTTTATAATTTTTTGCTTGTTTGTTCACTTCTTCCAGTAGTGTTCTGCAAATTTATAATAAACGATAGTTGTAATTTCTAGTATTATAGAACCGATTCATATTTTAAACAAATTTTGGACAGGTTCTACTAATTCTCCAAGATTGAAGATGGGTGGTACAATTGTAAGAAACCAGTTATGAAGAAGGTGATGGAGTACTGTTGAAGATTGAAGATGGGTGGTACAATTGTAAAGAATGTTGGTAGTAATCTGAAGCACTATTGGCAGATCATTGACATAAAGAATGGCTGCAGGGACTATTTTTCTGGGCGGATTGCAGCTGGTCTCAGGTGCTGAATGCCTTGATAGCAATCTATAAATATTTTGTTTGTTATGGTGTCCACTACAGAGCTAGTTTTTTTTAGCCTACCCTTGCAGGTTGTGCAAGGGAATACATATATTTTTGCTACGGCTCTATCGCTGCCGTTGACTGTGTTCATGGTCCGCATAATCCAATTATAAGGCCCCTAAACAGGTTCTGGTTTAGTGAGCTGCCCCAAATCCATGATTACATATGGTCTTATTGAGGGAAGAAATGGAAAATAATGTGTTTGTACCTCTTCTTTTAGGGATATTTGTTTATCTTTTTGGACATATCTATATGATTTGTGGATAGGTTTTTTTTTTTTAAAGGGAATTTTATTGAGGGAAGAAATGAAAAATAATGCATGAATGTTGAGATTTTTGCAAATATGTCTTTACGTTTATGTTATTATATTTGAATATATATATGATGTGTAGTTTTGTTTTTTTGTTTTTTTTTTTTTTTTTTTTTTTTTTTGCGACGGTAAAGAAGATGGTCGTAATACATTTGTATTGATTTTTTAAACTCTTTTGCGACGGCAAAATATCAGTCGCTATAAGTAGGTTAGACGGTCGCAAATAATTTGCGACTGTTATTTTGCGGTCGCAAAAAGTATTTGCCACCCCCACATTCGCGACCCTCATTTGCCGTCGCATGAGCCGTCGCAAAAAGTCTTTTGCGACTGCTTTTTTATTATTTGCGACGGCTTATAGCGGTCGCAAAAAGCATTTTTTTTAGTAGTGTCCCCCTAGTGAAGACGAGAAACTACACTCACCTGAGTCATCTTTTGATAAATATGCCAATCCAAACGAGTCACACAGATCAGCACATTTCATGTCAAGAACTTGATCTTTGGCCGCTATTTGACAGGCATGTTTTAGTCGAGCAAGATAGTAGTGCTCGAGATTATATATATATATATATATATAATTGTTACTAATGGTGGGAGTTGTCTCCACAAATGTCTTCCAAGGAAAAACTATTCAACTTCTTAGGAACACATATTTTAGTATTTCACCAATAGAAGACAACTTGTCTCATAGTGAGAGCTCACGGTAGATCTTCTTCATCAATCTCTCTTGGATATATTGCTTTGCTACCTGACAAATTACTCCCTCCTTGTTGCCAATAACCACCCCACATTTGCTTTCCCTGAGAATAGAATAAATCTTTTTAGCCAAAATAATGAGGTAAATATATTATCAATAAATAAATATAAAAGATAAACCAAATAAATTGAAAACCAAAACTAGAATTACAAATTCTTGCATCCATATTCTTAAACTCGGTTGCCCTTAAAATCAGTAATACCCTAGACCATTTGTTAATGTAAGCAAGCCAATTTTTTTGGTATATAGGGTCAAGAGGATAGGATTCTCGGTAAGGTTCACACACACCAAACCTCTTGAGCCTACGGAAGCCCACTAAACAACTAATTTGCATTATGTGACCAAAATATCCAAAGCCATGTGCCAATGAATTTCCTTTTATTCCGAAACCCATTGGGAAATGCCTAAACTGATATCCCACAAGGTCACATAATAATACATACTATGATTGTTTGAAATGAAGAGTCGCCACTTGATTTGAAGAACTAAGAAACCATATCCACGAAATGACTCCATGCAATTCCTAGTCCCGCCGTCGCTAGAGAACCTAGTTTAGGGCTAAGATACAAGATGGGAAAGACTTACCCAGCCTTCTTGCCCAACCAAGCAGTTGTGACCTCTCTACTCATTACTCATAAGTTCATGGTTTAAATTTAAAATAGGAAACAAATAGGACAAGAATAGTAGAAAAATAGAGCAAGGAAAGAAAACAACTAAATAACAAGAAAATTAAAATTGGACCTACATGCATAATTCCAAGTTGAGGAAGAATGGATGCTGTATAACTACTACTATATATGAAAAAACAACTTATTCCTCTTAGAATTAGTTTCATTACAAATATTTATACAACATTATCAAAAAAAATCTCAAAATTCAACTACTTTCTCATTGCATAATTCCAAGTTGAGGAAGAATGGATGTTGTATAACTACTACTATATATGAAAAAGCTTATTCCTCTTAGAATTAGTTTCATTACAAATATTTATACAACATTTTCAAAAAAAATCTCGAAATTCAACTACTTTCTAATTTTAATTTCTGGCATTCGCACCTTTCAATGAGTACTGAATACTAATACATAGAAACACATTTCTTTACAAAATAACACTGTTGTATATAACTACATAAATGGCTTCAAACCCTCGCTTAACTCCCAAACCTCCTAACATGAAAACCCAAGCACTTCAGAACGTGAAATCATAACCCTGCTCCTGCCTAGTTCCCAAAATCCATGCTTCTACAAGGCATTGTCTGCTTAGAATCTGATAAACAATGCAAGAAGCTGATTCTAGGAGCCTCTATTTCCACATAGCACTTTCTTTCAATTCACACGTCAATTTTCTTCTAGAAATCAATTTCTGAACGAAACCAAACCATCTAATTTTGTTCAGAAGTTAATATCTGAATCAAAATAGTGTATGCACTGAGAAAAGTAGTGTGTGAAAATAGAAGCTCTCCGAATTTCATGGGCAGAAGCTTGCCCCATTGGATTCCAGCCTCCATATCTAGTTTAAAGCAAATAAATACAAAGCTGGCTCCACAAAGTAAAATAAATAAATATTTTCGATCCACAATTGATTTTCACTACACAGGAACTTCTATGCAGATAGGTAGAGAAACCAAATTGCCTTAAAATATTAAATTGGCCATGGATTGTCCACAGCTTGCCAGTTTTATCATTTGCTGAAGGGCCTCATACCATCTATAAAATTAGGAAGCAACTAATCCATGATCTTGCCAAAAAAAGATGGGAAAAGAATAGAAAACACATACCTTGAAACATGTAGGTAATTAGACACCTTTTTCCATGAGACCATTTGAAGATTCATTTTTCTCTCTCCAGGTTGCGTGGACTTCATCAGTTTGAACCGCTATGTGAATGTTGATTCCTCCCCCGGATTTGACATCCCATTAGCATAAGCTAAGAGACCAGTATATGCAATCATTGCCCTATTGTCAACACAGTACATGTCATCAGTTGCAAACAACCTTCCACTCCTCTCGGAGCACATGATTCTCATTATCTCTTGCAAGCGCTCACTGCAGCCCACACTACCAACAATGAGAACATCTTTCTTGTCAATGTGTGCCATTGCCCATTCTGTAATCTCCACAAGCATCGGAAACACACTTTCCTAAAACAATTTAAATTGTATGCAGAAATTGAGCCACAATTAGATCGTGTAAATTCAACTAACACTTGCAATTTACAAGAATCAACCATACCAAATCACCAACTACATAACTTCTTCTTTCTTTCTTTCTTTCTTTTTTGTTGGCACTGGGGTGTCCGGATCAAAACCCGACTAATCCCCAAGGGTGCATAGGCCCTCTGCAAAGAGTTTCCTGCAAGTGCACCACAGTTAATTCAAGGGTTTTCCCCTAGTACGATGGTCCCAAGGAATTGTTAGCACCGAAGGGTATGTTTCTTTGGACGGATTGGATAAGGGGGATTATAATACACCGGACTGTTAAACCTAGGATACAATATCCCTGGACTATTTGGTTGGAAATGATGTGTATCCAATATTTGTTTAGTCATGGGATTAGATGTTTGGATTGGACTATTCCATTGAATCCTATGTGTATACTATTTTATTTAATTTTTTTATTAGAACTTTTAAAAAATTAAATAAATAGAACATCAACAAAAATTATATAAATTTATTTTGATTTTTAGTTGAGATTTTTAAATTTTATTTTACTTTACTAAGTATAATTAATACCACAAGTTCTCTGTTTCAGTAAAACTGGGCACAAAAGCACTTAACGGTGGTCCCTCCTGTCAACCGGTTGGCCAAAAATGTAATCCCATGAGATGAGTTATCCTTGGTTTTATGTCCCACACCCCCCCTTGGGACAAGACAATCAAAATATTCTGAACCAAACAATGTATTATTCCATCCACCGGACATGGAATCTTATCCCATGGTCGAATCCCTCCAAACAAACATGCTGGAAGTAGTTTCGATTCCTGAACCTTAGAGGGAGCACAGTCCCAAGACCCAAGGCCTTGCCACCAGGCCAATCCCTTGGGGTTTACCAACTACATAACTTTTTATCACCACAAAATATGTATTTTTATTAAATATTGGAAGCATTTCAAATGATTACCTAAAGGGAATAGCACAAATCTGCAGGGGTGCATTCATTGTTTTTTAGCTTTTCCTCAGCAGTAGCTTTAAGATAACTTAGTATTCCACTAAATGAAACATCCATTCCTTTGACAACATAGGGAAGGTCTATAAGCTTTTCCCCTTTTTTTGCGAGCTGATGAAGAAGGGAAAAAATAAAAAAAGGCAAGTCAAGCATAAAGCATTTCTTTATTGCATCATTTCAAGAACATTCTGTTTGCAAAAAAATAGCACATAACGGCATGATCAGCAACTAAAGTCTATCTAAAAAAAAATTAGAATATCTCCAGAACGAAAAATTAAGTATAATATAGCAAACCAAAGTCCCAGAGAGAATCTTCATAAATGAGAAGTGATGAAATGTGTAATGAATCTCAAAGACATAATGTAAAGTTACCCAAAAAATCTAAAATTACACATCAATCATGAAATATCAACGCAGTGCTTTGTTAAAATACAGAGAAACATAAACAGAGATATGAAGATATAATAAAAGACAGTAATTAAATATATTTTTAAAAAATGATAATAAGAAAAGAACTAATCAAATAAGATGAAAGTAGATTAAATATATTGGAGAAAGATAAATCTCACAACATAAAAAAACCACAGATAAAGCTTCTATTAGCTTTTTTGAACAAGAACTTAAAATAACTTGAACCTTGCACTAAATTCATCAATATCTACTGCTCACTGACCAAACTCAAAATAGAACAAGAAGCACAAAAGTTGTGAATTGTATATAAAATAATATAATAATAGAACTCAACCCAACAAAGGCTGCATCCTAGCCATTTAAGGTAGGTTTCATCTTTAGCCTTCATTCAATTCCATCCAGAGGCATATCCTCTCATAAATCCTTGGCAACTATTTCTTTCTCATAGCCCCATCTGATGTTCATTTTGGCCTTCCTCTTATACTTTAGCAACTTAAATTTAATTCTTCATTTGGAAGGAGTGGCAGAAAACTGAGAGGAAGGATTATGTATTAAAGAAAGAAAATAAAGGGAGGGAAAGGAAAAGTCACCTCACACTTTATCTGTCTGATTAAACAGGAAGGAAAGAAAAAGAAATCAAAAATACTAACTGCTTATTTAATCATTTACAAATGAAGAGAAGGGTGTTATATAGCTGACTACAACGACCTTGACCTAACAACCACCAAATTCCCACCTTCAACAGAGTTCATATGGAAGTAAATAATAAAATTTCTTCTTTAAAGAATAAGAAAATTATCAGAGTCTCAAAGCCTCATTTGTAGTTGTCTTTGTGTGCGTCTTTAGTCTTTTGAGAAGCCGGGGGGGAGGGGGAGAGGATACCAAAATCGAGCCATACAACATTCAAAGATCAGAAACTGGCAAGCCATAACCAAAAGTTTTCCCAGTACAGTGCAGGCTTCAGAAGGTGGTCTCATACAAGTATTGATCTCAAACACAATATAAAACTGAATCATAGTAAGAAATAAAGATTTCTCAAACAATCGGTAGAGAACAGATCAATAAAAATAAATAAATAAACAAATTGCAAACTTCTATAGTTAAACAAGTAAAAAGCAAAATAGCAGCTCAATTTATTTTTTTGACAAAATATGTATTATTATTATTATTATTATTATTATTATTATTATTATTATTATTATTATTTTTTTTTTTTTTTTTATAATAATAGTTGTTATTCTCAAAATATATGAGTCTCCCCCTAAATTAATACACTAAAAATTACACAAATTTGAAGAAACAAATTACCAATCTATAATACTAAGGGCCATTAAGATCCGGCCATAAACAACTATACCAAGTGCACTAGCATAAAAGGAGAAAATAAAAATAAAAACAATTTCTTCAAACAAGGTAGAAGCAATCGTTATTAAATCCAAGATACTTTGGAGCACATAAAACAAGTAAAAAAGTATAACACAGTGCAAAAAGAATTTTAACATGTTGATCGGTGATGACCTTGATGATCGAAAGAAATGGAGAAGATCATGTAGATCGGTGACGAATTTTTGTAAATCGATAATGGATCTTGATGGATCAGTCACGGATTGTGATGGATCAGTCACGGATCTTGATGGATTGGTGATAGAACTTGATGAATCAGTAATGATGGTGATACAGATTTTGTGTAGAGTAGTGATGAATCTTGCTAGATTGGTGAGGGATTTGGGTGGATAATGGTAGTGATAAAAGTGATGAGTGATGTTGTGGATGGTGGAGCTGATTGATGGTGATGATGAAGATGGTGTAGGCTGAGGATAAGAGGAAGAAAATGAGAGCGAGAGTGAAAGAGAAAAATAGAGAGTGAGGGAGACAACGGGTGAGAGATTGAGACAGAGTAAGTGAGAGAGAGAGAGAAAAAGAGAACATATATACATATATATAATTATCATTATTTTATTTAATTATTATTTTTTATTATATTTATTTATTTATTTATTTATTAATTTATATTTAATATAAACATTATATTGGAGTATTCATCAAACCAAGTTCAGTTCTAATAAAACAAAATTGTTCTTCATTAAGAGGCTTGGTAAATATGTCAGCTAATTGACGATTTGTAGGCACAAATTCGAGTTCAATGTCATTCTTGAGTACATGATCTCTTAGAAAATGATGCCTTATTTCAATGTGTTTAGTGCGTGAGTGCTGAATAGGATTTTTTGAAAGGTTAATGGCACTTGTGTTGTCACATTTTATAGGAATATGATCATAGTAAAGTCCAAAATCTTGAAGTTGTTGTTTCATCCAAATGAAAGGTAAATCTGCGAACGTTAAAAACCATCTATTAGCTTTGTTGAACAAGAACTTAAAATACAAGTACCTAACTTGAGCCTTGCACTAAATTCACCAATATCTACTGCTCACTGACAACACTCAAAATAGAACAAGAAGCACAAAACTTGAAATGTATATAATAATTCAATAAGAAAACTCAACTCAACTCAACAAAACCAGCACTGAAACCCTTTAAGGCAGATTTCATCTTTAGCCTTCAATCAACTCCATCTAAAGGCATATCCTCTCATAAATCCTTGGCAACTATTTCTTTATCATAGCCCCAGCTGACATTCATTTTGGCCTTCCACTTATTCTTTTAGAAGAAAACTGAAAGGAAGGATTATGTACGGAGGAAAGAAAGAAAGGGAGGGAAAGCAAAAATCACCCCACCCTTTATCTGTTTGGTTAAGCAAGAAGGAAAGAAAAAGAAGTAAAGACTACTAACTGGTTGTTTAATCATTTTCTCTTACAAATGAAGACAAGGGTGTTATATAGCTGACTACAATGGCCTAACAACCGCCAAATTCCTTTCTTCAACAGAGTTCATAAAAAGGTACTGTTAGGTTTTATTTCTTGGCAATCCCGTTTGACAAAACTCCTTTGAGTTGTAATTTTATTCGCACTTTTTATTTCAGTGAGGCTATGAGTGTTTAGATGCGAATCCAACCCGAATTGTGCTTTTCAGAGAAGTTTGTGATGATAAAGCGTTCAAGATTGCCACTTCGCTGATTATGACGGGGATCGAGCTGCCCGGTCAGCTCGCGGGGGTCCAGGGGGCAGCGCCCCTTGGCGGGTCCGGGGCAGCGCCCCCGAAGCAAAATGCAAAAATGCATTCAAAGTTGCCTATCCGATCATGTTATAGTTTTTCCAGTTTTTCCAGTTTTGGCCTGTCCGCTCGAGCGTGGATTGGAAGCTCTCAGCATCTCTGCAGTCGCCTGTAAAAATACTGGAAGGTGTGATTTTACGCTCGAGCGGATTCTACTACGCTCGAGCGCATCTCAGTTTGTTCGCACGCAGTTTTTTGGTCAGTCCGCTCGAGCGGGCTGTGTTGAGCTCGAGCGGAGATCGCGGGACAGATTCTATAAATTCACGTGTTGGGTCAGATTTTAGGATAACTTCTCCAGATCTTCTTTTTGGGTTCTAGGGTTTATATCTGGGGATACTTTGGGAGTTTTCTTTGATGTTTTTATTGAGTATTCAACTCATGATCTAAAGAGAGTACATCAAAGGTTTGTTGGTTATACACAAAAGAGAGAGTTGTTCTTCAGTTGTGGATTCTGAAGAATTCGAGCCTGAAGCTTTGGTGGAATCCGGAGTGGCTCATCAGAAAGACAATTCCGTGGTGAAGATGGGGTTGGAAGAGGCACATAGAGGTTGGTTCAATTAGGCGTGGATTCGCTAGGTAATTGAGAGTATACCTGTGTAATTCCTTTTAATCTTCTTAGTGGATTGTTTTGTGGCTGTTGCCCGTGGTTTTTTTATCACAGTTGGAGGTGTCCAATTGTGGTTTTTTCCACGTAAAATCGTTGTGTTTCTTTGTCTTGATTGTTTGATTGGGATTGTTATATTCTGCTTAAAATTGATACATAATCACAAATCAACATTTAGGGGATTTCTAGATTTTTCAGGTACCTAACAAGATATCTTCTTTAAAGATTAAGAAAATTATCAAACAGTCTCAAAGCCTCACTTGCAGTTGTCTTTGTGTGTCTTTTGTCTTTTAAGAAGGCAGGAGGGGAGAGGATACCAAAATCAACCTATACAACATTGGAAGATCAGAAACTGGCAAGTCATAACCACAATTTATTCCAGTACAGTGCAGGCTAGACAAGTATTGATCTCAAGCACAATGCAAAACTGAATCATCATAAGGAATAAAGTTTTCTCAAACAATTGATAGAGAAGAGATCAATAAAAAAATAAAATAAATAAAACTGCAAACTTTTATAATTAAACAAGTAAAACATCAAATAGCAGCTCAATTTTATTTTTATTTTTATTTTTATTTTTTTGTCTTCTGCAAGATTTAAGACATTTCAACACCATAACCTATAAAAAGATATGACTATTAATGGACAGTCTCTGTGTGAATTTACCACTGATATAGGTTAAGGGAACTTGCTTCCAATTGCATACCTGCTCAATGTTGTACCCAGGGTTTGGATCATTAGACAGAGTTAGAACCCTTGCAAACTAGTCTAAGAACAGTAATATCTATAGTCTCACCAAAAATCCGATACCGCCCCTTGCTATCACCAGTGTGTTCCCACCACTTACATATAGCACAACAAGGTCATCTACTCCAGTGACAACCCTTCCCATCTCAATATGAGCAACATAATGATTTACCGCAACAATGGGTTTCTTCCAAAGCTGTGAAAGAAGCCGAACAACAACAATGGCAACCTGTAATGGCGCATCCATGCCTGGTCCTCTATGTTGTGTTTGGTGGAGAGATTTGAGGAGGGATTTGGAAAAGAAAATGGAAAAGGTAGGTGAAATGTGAATAAAATATACCTACATTTCATCTAGTTTCACACACCTTTTCCCTTTTCCTTCCTTTCCAAATCCCTCTCCAAATCTCCCAACCAAACACAGCACTAGTGTAACAAAGAAAGTCGATGTCATTTGGGGTTGGTTATCTACACAGTCTCGGGGAAGGAATCCCTGCCCTGGTGGGGTAACATAGGTGTGTGTGTCTTGGGTTTGATAAAATTAAGCCATCAAGGGTCACAACCCGACACCAATCTTGCTGGCTAAACCCCTCAAACCCTAGAGCTATCATCTTCTTCATCTTTCAAGAATATTAATATGCCTGACTCAAATCCAACGTCTTCAAATTAGGTTGATAATTTCTACTGAAATTATATAGTCCTCTTATCTGGGAAGACAACAGGAATACATGATTATTCTGAACTTGTCTCCAAGAGATGATTCCGTACATGGTAAACTGCGACTGCTAAAGAAAATTTATCCGCCACATTTTTTTATTTTTTTTATTTAATTTTTGAACACGCTAATTTTAAAAGGAAATTGATTGGTAAAACAGAATTTTTATAAATAAAGTCTATCCAGAATCACGTGTCAATGGCATTTTTATAATTATGAGCCACAGGTGCTTCGACTTGAAATGAAAATAAAAAAATAAAATAAAAAAGGGAAGAAAAGTCCCATTCTAAACAAAAATAATTAACCAAAAATAGTAAATTAAATATTAAAAAAGAATTTAGGGGTGAAATCAGTTCAGTCCAAGTGCTACTTCATTCCCACCTGATCGAAGGTTTTGATTTTCATTATTTCCACCTAATTGAATGATCTGGTTGTTTTTTTCAGTAGATAATGAAAACTATTGCTACAACCTTACCAAAAAAACAAAACAAATGTCAATAGTTGTATCAAATCAAAACATGAACAACATCTAAAAACAATGATACACGGCTTTTTGCTTAATATATGCTCATGTGGACAAGTTCGGGTAAATTTTAGAGAAAAAATTGGGCTTAGGGTTTCAAAAAATTAAGGTTTTTCTAATTTTTTTTTTATTGATTTTCTGAAAATTGAATTTTTTATTTTTTTGTTTTTAGTGATTTTTATTAATATTTAGTAATTTTTTTACTTTTTAAATATGCCCACCTAAAATATAAAATAAATAAAATATTTGTGATAAAATATTTTAAAAAATTAATAAATTCATACTGAATTTATATATATATATTTGATATCTAATGAATTTTTTAAAAATTTTGTTTCACAATATTATACTTTTTTATATTAGGTGCATGTAAAAAAACTGTTTAAACTATTAAAAACATTTACTAGAAACAAAAAAAAAAAAAAAAAAAAACAAGAAAAACAATTTTTTTCTTTTTTTTGATAAGTAAATAAACTTTATTAAAATAACATCAAGAAGATGCAACAACCACAAACAATGAGAAAAGCAACTAGAAGCTCCTAACCAATAACATCATCCAAAAAATCCAAAAAGACAAATAAATCCGGATCCACCCTTCGCTCTAGCCAACTATACAAAGTTACTAGCAATTTATATTCAAGCCATGCAATCAAATGAGAACTATCTCGAAACGTCCGACGATTCCGCTCTAACCAAACCAACCACATCAAACAGAAAGGCACCAACAACCACACCCGCCGCCGCAGCCTCTTACCAACCCAGGCCCCTCGCCAACTCCACAACTTCTCTAGCACTACCCTGGGCTGCACCCAAACAATCCCAAATAGCGAGCACATAAGCCCCCAAAGTCGCACAGCGACGGTACAATGGAGAAACAAATGATCCATTGTCTTCGCATCAACACAACACATACAACACCGATTCACAACCACATGCCCACGACGAACCAGGTTATCAATAGTGAGATTCCGCCCCAAAGCAGCTGTCCATAAGAAGAAAACCACTTTAGACGGAACTCCTGGCACCCAAATACACTTCCAAGGAAACAACGCCAACCCCACCCCCACCCCCACCAAACTCCAATAAAAAGATAAGACAGAGAACTGTCCGTTAGAGCCTGGGACATGCCAAATCCTCCCCCTTACGTGTAAGACCCAACCCATACAAGAAACTTAACAACTCCTCCAACTGACCCACCTCCCAATCTTGAACCGGCTGCCACAACTGGATGTTCCATACCACCACTGCCCCTGCCCCCAAACAGTCCTCCATAGTGACCTCTCTATCCACCACAATAGAGTATATCAAAGGAAATTGCACCTCCAATACAACCTCCCCACACCACCTGTCCTGCCAGAACCAAAGTCTCTCCCCTATCCCAACCCCAAAGGTCACCTTTTCCCAAAAGTCCCCTCTCCTAACCAAATGCCTTTCCACAACCCACGACCATGCGAGTCGTACACATCCCCCACTCGCCAATCCCCCTTATCCACACCAAACTTAGAAGCGACAACCCTACGCCAAAAACGGTCCCTCTCCACGGCAAACCGCCACAACCATTTCCCTAACAAAGCCTTATTGAAAGTCACCAAACTGCGAACTCCCAACCCACCCTCTTTCTTGGAATGACAAACCTGCTCCCAACTAACCAGATGATGTCAGAACTCTTCCTCCCCCACTGCCCCATAAAAAGTCCCTTTGCAACTTCTCTAAACGCCAAGCCGCTGAGATCGGGATAACATGCACTGACATAAAATAAATCGGAATACTACTCAACACACTCTTAATCAAAGTTGGCTGCCCCCCCTTGACAAATATTGCCTCTGCCACCCTACCAAACGGCGTTGCACTCGCTCCACCACCCCATCCCACACTCCCACGACCTTAAAAGTCGCACCTAAAGGCAAACCCAAATATGAAACCGGCAAGGCCGTCACCTTGCATCTTAAGACTGCCACTAAAGCCGGCAACCTATCAAACCTCTCCCACTCGAATCAACTCAGACTTACTCAAGTTAATGCGTAAGCTAGACACCACCTCAAAACAGAGAAGAACACACCGCAAATACCCTGATTGCTTTATTGTCACATCACAAAAAACCAATGCATCATCCGCATACAACAAATGAGATACCCCCATAGCCGTCCCAGGACTGGCACCCACACAGAAACCCTCCCACAAACCACCAGCCACCACCCGAGACACCAACCAGCTAAACGCCACCATAACCAATATAAGGAGCAAAGGTGACAGTGGATCCCCCTATCGAAGGCCTTGTAAGTTGGAAAAAAGCCCGCCGGCGTGCCATTCACCAAAACCGACATCCGTACAATAGACAAACAAAACTTTATCCACCTACACCACTTCTCCCCAAAACCCATCCGACCCCTAACGTAAAGAAGAAAATCCCAACTGACGTTGTCACAAGCCTTCTCAATATCTAGCTTACATATCACGTCGGGCTGCCCTTGGCGAATTCTAGAGTCAACATGTTCATTGGCCACCAAGACTGCATCCAAAATCTATCAACCCCCTACAAACGCATTCTGAGACTCAGACACCACCTCCGGCTAAACACCCCGAAGTCGATTAGCTAACACCTTGGCCAATAGCTTATACACACTTCCAAGCAAACTAATTGGCCTGAAATCCCGAATATCCTCAGCCTTCTATTTCTTGGCAGCAAAGCCAAAAAAATTGCATTGAAACTCTTTACAAACTAGCAAGTAACACAAAAAATCCTCAAACACTGCCATCACATCCGCCTTAATCACACTCCAGCAATGTTGAAAGAACACCATAGTAATGCCATCCGAACCTGGGGCTTTATCCCCGCACATAGCCTTCAAAGCCGCCTAAACTTCCTCTTCCATAAGGACTTCTCTAAATCCTCCCTACCCCCTTCCATAATAGAATCAAACAGAAGTCCATCCAACCCCGGCCTCCACTCCCCTTCTTGAGCCCGAAACAAATGCTGATAAAAACTAACAATACCTCGCCGAATCTCCTCAACAGAAGACATATCGGTCCCTTGAAGAACAATTTGATTTGCTCGCTGATGCCCATTTGCCATCCTATGAAAGAACTTCGCGTTCCAGTCACTTTCCTTCAACCATAAGCATCTAGATTTCTGCCTGAAACACACATCTTCCATTCGAGCCAACTGAACAAAATCATGTCGAGCTGCCTCTCTCCTTGCAATCTCCACAACCGAAAGCCCATCAGTCACCTCCTGATTATTGAGACCCTGTAGGATCCCCACCATCGCTGCTTTCTGTACCTCCAATCGACCAAAGACCTCCTTATTCCACTGTTTCAGATCAAGTTTCAGTAATTTTAACTTGTGAGCCAACATGTAACTGGGAGTCCCACTAACCTCATAGTTGCTCCACCACCCCAGGACCTGATCTACAAAGCCTTCTGATTATAGCCACATATTCTCAAACCGAAATGGCGTAGGGCCACCACGTAACCCTCCACTATCCAACAAAAGAGGACAATGATCCGACACTGGTCGAGCAAGCCGCAACTAGACAGCCTCAAAAAAGTGTTCCTCCCACTCACCACAAACCAAAAACCAATCAATTCGGGACAGCTGCTGCCCATTCAACCAAGTATAGCTGCCTCATTTAAGAGGGAGATTAATAAGATACATCTTGTCAATAAAAGAACAGAACACCCGCATGGACCCCTTCACCCTGCTACTCCTAACCTTCTCTGATGGCCACCTAATAATATTGAAGTCGCCCCCCACACACCAAGGTTCGGACCAACGAAATGCTACATTCTCCAACTCCAGCAAGCAAGCATCCCAATCTGAATTTCGTACTGGCCTATACACCTGAGTAAACACCCAACGAAAATTATCTACCACACACTGAAACAAGCAAGACACAGAGAACCGCCCTGCCTCCTCCTCCTCCTCCTCCTCCTCCTCCATAGCCACCACCCTCTTATCCCAACAAAGAAAGACCCCTCCTGCCGTGCCTATGGCTGGTAAATAAGTCCAATG